CCTTCATCTACCGAAGGTTCCCAGGCTATAAAGAGTTCCGAGTACCGATGCAGTCAGCTCACGGCGGCTCCTGACATAGGTTAGTAGTCTATGAACCTTAAGGCGCTCTCCCCCCCAATAATTACTCACCCTCCGGCATAAATCGGACGTCAGAGTGAAAAACAAAAGCCCCCTAGCATTAAAGACTCCGACGTGTACCAGGCAAGAATCCTTCCTTGCATTCGGAAGCCGAAGAGTGGAACAGGCGAGCAAGTGTGCAGGTTTGCGTCATATGAGAGGCCCCGCCTTACATTTTCCGCCACAGATTTGGGGAAATTGGTCCGTGCGCAAAGCATTGTGGGGATTTTAAGGGCGCGAAGTCTACCCATGTGCAGCCTCGAAATTACCCCCAAACCAAGGACGCGGCCTCGGTGGAATTCCAAGTATGCTGGAGATTGGAACAGTCCTTCGGTGGCACTCGATGACGTAGCATCCTTGAAATATTGGCTTGGAAGCCAGTTTCCTCGCGATTGAGAAACAGCCCCAGAGTCTCTTGGCAACACGACCTTCCAATCAGCATTCGGCCGGCCGGCGAAGTCCCTCCTTCTATCCGCTATCCTAGAAATCTGTTTTCGCTAAAGCGGCTTTGCAGACACATAGTGGAATCCTCCATTTACACTGATTCCCAGTTATGCGGGGGCGTTGAGCACACACACACGGGCAAGGCCAGAGCCTCAATAACTCATTGTCTCTGCAGTGTGCATCTGGCTTTTGTAACATTTCTAATGCAGGATAAAAACGTTCTTGCTGTGACTTTTCCCTTAGTTTCCTTTCCAATCCATTAAACCTTGGGATTGGTGATTTTGTCTATTTATTCTAAAGTCACAGCCACATAAAATGAGCAAAATACGCTAATAATGTAATAATAAGAATCAGTCTTTCTAATGTTATATAAAAATAGACTCCACAGGTGTCCAATCTTTTTTCTCCGAGGGCCACATACAGAAAAACATATGAAGGGCTGGACCACTTGTATAATCGAGTTATATTGCCCTGTAAATTAAAGGTGCGGTAGGTAATATTAGAAAACCAGTAGAAACCAGCTCGAGTGCGCTAGAATTTGAAAATACACAGCCGGAAAAAATCTGCCACTTCCAGAGCCCCTCCTCCAACACACACGAACGCGCAGATGACCAATGAGGGCACGAGATAAGTTTGTGCACAGATGGAAGGCTGACAGGCAGATAGGCCATCCAGTTACTTTAGCCGGGCCGGCTAAAATGATTGGTCGTGCTTTTTACAGTACCACGGCTTGCACAGATGACATTTTTTTATGAATTTTTTGTCAAAGCACTTCAGATATTCATTGCTATCGGGATGTTAAGAGCATTCCATGGAATATAACACAAAGTGTATCTCAAGCTGGTTTCTCAAACTTACCTACCCCACCTTTAAGTTATATGAATTGACTGAATTATTTTAAAAGTGGGCTTATTAACACATGAATACTACTGTGTAATATATTTAAGAAGTACAATATAAGAAAAGCACAAGTTTCATTTTGTGGGCCATATTTCATTATATTTTTGGATTAGCGGAAGGCAAATTCAAAATGGCCTGCGGGCTGCATTTAGCCCTCGGGTCGTAGTTTGGACACCCCATGGTTTAAGGTATAAAGTCTTTTGAATCAAGGATTTTTTTTATTGCATTTGCTTAATTTTAGTGTGTATTCTGTTAAGCAACTTTTTAAATTTTTTGATTATGTTTTATGGCCAGACAGATTTGTGTTGGTATATACAGCCCCAACACACCCTACCAGGATGGGGAATCCAACTCACAACTTACAGCAATCTAGATATGTTCTGCCAGCATTAACCACTGAGCTATACAGCAGCTTGAGGATTGATTCGAAATCATGGATCACATGACCTTTTTTTTTTCTGTCCCCCGGAGGTAGGGGGTGTCCCCTTTAGGCTGGCAAGGACACAACATCTCTCAACATGATAAGATAATAAAGGAAGTGAAAACATAAAAAGTCCTGCACCTTTGTGTATGTTCGGCAAATGCAGAGAAACCATGTTGTTACAATAAAAGTGGAAAAATAAAAATAAATAAATATAGTTGGACGTTCATGATTTTAAAAACACATTGGCTTTGGTCCAGAGGTCTACAGTATGTATTGGTTCTTCATGCAGGTGCTCAAGGTTCAACACCCAGGGGAGGGACATCTTGTGCTTCTGCTGTTGATGTTAAATAATGGAGAAATTGTCCCCACCACTTTTTCTAACAAAGTGACGCCCATGATTATATCCACACAGCACAGTCTATTTCCAGGCTCCAAAATCAATTATACCAAAAAACAACTTCATATTTACATATCAGGAATTGCACATTAAAAAATATATATTATATACTATTAGTTAAAAAGTGCAGAACAAGCAACATCTATTTTTGCAGCAATGTTCGTGCCAATTCAAGTTTATTGTTTTAGAAGCCTGAACCACTTATAGTACATCTTGACCTAATTTATAAACATTTGAAATGATTAATCCCAATGAGGTAACTATTACAAAGACAATAAGCAGTCATATTAACTCCCATAATTCTTATCACCGGATTTATTTGAAAATCATCATAAAAACAAAAAAAAAAAAAAAAACTACATTTGAAAACAGGTTTAAAAAGTAAATAAACGTGAAAAGCCATAAATAGTTAATATTTGCTTCACTCCAATAATGAGTCAACCGGTGGTTTAAAATAATAAAAATATAAGAGCTAGGAAGAAATAACCACACAACATCTAAATATAAACAAATGATTTGCCACACTTACTATAGCATATGCCAGAAATAAGAAAAAGGTGATTTGAAGCATCACACTGGACCAAAGAGTTTCTCATCTGTGTGTCAGCTATATATTTTGTACTCTGCTGCCATTTAAATGTGTAGTAGTGAATGCAGCAGCAGCATAATACATATGAGCGGATATAAAGTAATATGTGAAGCTGAGGAAACTGATTTCTATCTAAAATGTAACAGTATCTGCTTTCAGCTTAAAATATTCTAAAACATGCTGAAATTAATCAATTAGGGTATTCACAATTTCCTTTTCTATGATGAAAATGTATAAAATGAAAAAAAACCGCAAGGATTATTCAAGTAAACAGTTTCGCATCCGAGCTCCCCCCCCCCAAAAAACGGATTATTATGTGTAAAAAAAATATATAATATAAACTGATATACTTTGAAATAACTCACTCAGCATGCATTTAAGTGCATTGATTATAATAGCAGTTCCGAAATCAAGGACACTATGTTATTGAAAAGGAAAGCTAAAAATAAAAATATTAAAGGCACATTGAGTCTAATACAATTTTGTGAAGCAGTTAAGATGCAGATCAAACCCATTTCAAGCAGTAGAATTTTAGATATACATACTTTTTCAGTCTAAATATGTGATTTCAAGATTTTTCAGACTCATACCCTGAATTTCTATGACATGTTTGAACAGCTGTTTGGTGTTGTAGCGGTGGGTCGGACCTCTCCCTCTCTCAGACTCCAAAGATGATCCTGATGTCGGCCAGGGAGAGTTTGGTGGCGGTGCTTCCCTTCCCGGAGAGCACGTTCCGGGCCAGTTCCTTCTTCTTCCCCTGCAGTATGGAGATCTTATCCTCCACCGTGCCGTCACACACAAACCTGGAGACACAAAAAACGATTTGATTACACACAAATATACCAAACTATGACATACTTATGACAAACAGACCACCAACAATGAGGAAGATTCAATAGAGTGCCGCAGTGATACGTCCTAAAACCCGGAAGTAAACTCCTTCCGGTTCCTTCGACAAAAACCAATGCAATTTCTCCATAGGATTTTGGAAAATAGCTGGAAATAAGGTCTGTGGTTGAGACACATTCAAGAGACGGATCACTTTTTGTTCATCCGGATAATATCCACATGTCTAGTCTACTTTTAAAATGTTTGAATCATAAATCTATCGATTAGAAAATGATTAGGGTCCA